ATGATTAAATGCAGAGTTATTTCTGGAAATACTATAGGAACATCAATTTTCTTCAAATAATGATTTTGCCGGAAAAGTGAAGCCACTTACCTATGGGTCACTTTGAGATGAATATGGTATTATCGTTGCCAAAGTGGAACTGGAATCAAAGGTGCTTAGGTAGAGAGAGAAATTCCCATTGGAGAGGAGAGAGAGAACCCATTGATGGCTTAGTTTATGGGCTGATGGGGTATTTATAAGTGTGGGGTTCAACCGAAACTCGACACATTTTATCATGTATCATTTTTAAGGGCCACCTCATGCTATCATGGGACACCTCATACTGGCGATTGCCACCTCGTGCAATCTCGAGACATCTCGTACTGGCGATTGCCACCTCGTGCAATTTCGAGACACCTCGTACTGGTGATTTCTACCTCGTGCAATATCGAGACACCTCGTACTGGTGATTTCTACCTCTTGCAATTTCGAGACCTCGTACTGGCGATTGCCATCTCGTGCAATCTCGAGACACCTCGTACTGGTTCCTTACTTTATAAATCTTTTGATGCTACAATAACGATGTTCCCATAGTGTGTCATAACACAACGGACTATCATTTAAAGTCATTCATGTATATAAATCTTTATTTATTTATTTAATTAATATATATATATATATATATAGGTAATCAACGAAGCCCTGTTGTTTGAATTGCTTCAAATATCTCTTAATAACATTGAGAAAATCCTCCTCAACAACACAATCCTCCAACCTGCCTATCCCTAATGAGCTCCAACCCATGTAATAAAGCACATAGTTCTACTTGATCTGTAATAACATGTCTACATGAACTAACAAAACAAAAAATGACAACACCTTCACGATTTCTCACTACTCTACTAATACCAGTTGGCGCTGGATTACCGGCGGAACTTATGCCAAAATTTAATTTAACACGTCCAAATATGGGTGGTTCCATCTACCTTTTGGCCTTACTTTAATCAGGTTTAAATTAATTAAAAAATTGGCAAATTAATAGCAACTGTTAAAATTGTTAAAGTGTATTTTCTAGAAATCATATTAGCCTCTATTTTATTTATTTTTAAGTGATGTAGTGAGATTGTATTTGTAAGTTTATGTAATAGGAAGTTATGAAACTATTAAGTGGTTAGTAGTTATTGTGGCAAGTGGGTAGTTATTGTAGTAAATATGGTTGTAAGAACCTCTATTTAAAGAGATGTGTGTGGTGAGAAAATTGGATCATAAGTATAAAGTTTGTAATACTTTTTTGTACCTCATTTTTCATCTTTAAATGAAAGTTTTTATTCCATCTCATCTTGATTGTTCTTCTTCCATATCTTTTGTTCTTGGGCTAGTAGGATATTGTTGTACTAATTGAGAAGCGGATTGTTATGATATTATCACATCCGTCTTTTTCCATATGGTATCAGAGCCACAAGGGTGGTGGTGATGTTGTCTTAATTTCCTTAGTGAAGAAAACTGATTGTCCTTTTGTAGATTGATTCGGGTGGAAAATCGAATGGTTTAATGTTGAGTTGGAAAGTCAACTCAAGGTGATCTTTCTATTTCACGATTATTCTTAAAGATTAAGAATCTTTGTTTGGAGATCTCTCGTTGATCCGAAAGAATCTCTTTCAGGGGCAAATGAAGCAGCACATCATTCGTGTATTAAAGATCGAGTATATTCCCTATGTTATTTTTATTCATGGGTTGGCTAACAATTATCCTTGGTGGAGTTTGAGAATCTCCATGGTGACTCGTCAAATGGTTGAATTTTCAATTTCAGAAGTGTTAAAGGTAATCTCATCACACTTAAGAGCTAAGCATAGTCTCTTTTTCTAGAAAATACACTTTTCAGGGGAATGTTAAAATTGTTAAAGTGTATTTTCTAGAAATTATATTAGTCTTTATTTTATTTTATTATGAGTGATGTAATGAGGTTGTACTTGTAAGTTTGTGTGGTAGGAAGTTATGAAACTACTAGGTGGTTAGTAATTATTGTTGCAAGTGGGTAGTTGTAGTAAATATGGTTGTATGAACCTATATTTAAGGGGATGTGCGTGGTGGGAAAATTATAAGAATAAAATTTGTATTACTTTTGTAAATATGGTTGATTGTTTTCTTTTATCAATTTGGTTGTGAGTCTTGGGATAGTGTGACATTGTTATACTAATTGAGAAGTGGATTGCTTCGGTATTGTGTCATCCATCTTTCTCCATAGCAAAATCTGCCTTGGAAATACCCTAACCTTCTTTAGTAATTAAGGATTAACTTTAGTGAGTGTAAAATTTTGTTTTTTATTAGAGTTCTCTTATTCTTTCTAATCAAATCTCCCGCAATACTGCTGCTCGAGAAAACCTCCAAGTTACTTTTCCAACTTAACCATGAAGATTTAAGTGTTCCAAAATCTCCTTGTGTCCTCTTCGCATAGCCATTGAAAGTCTCATATTTTTTAAAGCCCAACACCAAATGGAATAAGTATACGAGCAATGTCAAACATGTATCACCATTTTTTTCATCCTCCTAGCTTAAAAAACACATATTAACCATTACCTTTCCTCTGTTTATTAAATTATCAATGGTTAGAATCGTACCTTGCAAAAAGATCCACAAAAGGCATACACCTTATGGGGAATACGCCACGTCCAAATTTGATTAAGCATTGGATGGGTCCAAGAATATCTATCATCAAACAAAGTTCGATAAGCATATTTGACAGAAAAAACCCCATCATTTTTACACTCCCACACTCCTAATCTTCGACACTCTTTGACTGGTGAACACCTTCCAACAAACACAACAACTTATCAAGAACTGTATTATAAAAGCAGTTTAGGCTCCACAATTCTTGAACCTTGTTCTCCATACAAATTAATAATCCTCGCCATGGGTTGTGAAATATTAAAAATAGTTCCGGGTAAGAGACCTTCAAAAGACTGTTCCCTATTCATTTCTAATGCCAAAATGAGATCTTATCCCCCCTTTCAACCAGCCATCTAAAGATCCTTTTAACAACAACTTTGCTTTCTAATGTCAAAATGAGATCTTATCCCCTCTTTCAACCAGCCATCTAATGATCCATTTAACAACTTTGCAACACAAAATACCCTACCATATATGCTACTGAGTTTTAGACCCTCTACCTCTAGCAATTATGTGTGAGTTTTATTCAATTCCATACTTCGCAGCTAGGATTCGTCTCCATAACTGATCCTCACTTTTCAACCATCTCTACCACCATTCAGCAAGCAATGCCTCATTTTCCTTATGCCAAGACGACCTTCCTTCATCAGCATATAAACTCTATCCCAACTTATCAAGTGAGAACTTTTCCCATTATCATGTAACCTCAAGAAAAAGTTTCTCATCATTTGTTACTATAAGGAATAGAGCTTGGCATGTTCAATAATGATATTAGGTAGATTGATAGATTTGTCAAAACAGATTTCATCAAAGTAATGCACGCCTCTAAAGAAAACCCATAATAGTAAAGTTTCAAGAAACCTTAATGTTCAAAATCTGTTAAAGACTAGCATCACAAAAAATTAGTATGTCATCGATATATTGTGAATGAGAGATACAAGGACCATTGGTGGAGACCCTAAAACCATCGAAAATCTATTTCTTCCATATTTTTTAGCATTATACTGAAACCCTCCACTACTAAAGTAAACAAAAACGTCGATAAGGGGTTAAGTTGTCAAATTCCTCTGGTTGCCTGAAAAAAAAAACCCTCTCAACTTTCATTAACCAACATCGAAAAGTGTGCACTAGTTAAGCAGCCCTTGATTCGTATCCTCTATTTATCCCTAAAACCCATACGACACATTATTTCTTGTAACACATCCCACTCCACACGATCATATGCCTTGTTCATATCTAATTTTAATGGCTGCCCATGAATCCCACTTTGTACTCTAGAATGAACACATTCCTCGGCAATAAGAATGTTATATGTTGTGAGTCGATTATAATAAAAAAGCAAATTAAGGGCCCAAGAGAATGAAATGAATTATCACCTTTAACCTTTAGGCAAATATCTTAAACACGAACTTGTACACACTTGTCAGTAAGCTGAATGCCGAATATCATTAATACAAGAGATGGCTGATTTCTTTAGATTTAAAGAAACATAGGTGCTATTCAAGTCCTAAAATTATTCGCAACCAAATGGATGATATAAAGAAAATAATTTGGTATTGCAAAACTATTATAGGAATTGTGGAAGGAATATTTGTGGATAAACTTATTTTCTTCCCATTGGAATTGTTGTGAGAAAACAGTCCTAAGAATTATGAAACGACTAGATTGTGGAGAGTATCGAAAGCTATATTGGTGTTGGAAAATATTTACGATGAATTATGGAAATAAAAGAATTATAGTCCAAAAGAAAGTTTATTCAGCTCTTGAAAAATAATTACTAAATTAGACAAAAATGATTCCTACATAAAAAATGCCTCAAAGATTTTGCACTTCCCCTAGCTGTGGGAGAGAGAACAGAGTTTATATTCAATTTATGTATAAAATGTCCACATACTTCATCTCCTAGGTACTGAATTTCAGAAACTCTGATTTACTCAAATTTCTTTTTTGGAAAATGGAAAATGATTCCCAAATTTGCATATTGAAAAATGGATTTAAAAGTTTTAAATTAACATCTAAAGATGGTAAAAATGTCCTAAACTTCCCTAGAATATGGACTTCCAACATGAGGTATGAGACAAATCAATCAGCTGTGGTCCCCCCAAAGAAAATCTAGGTGTTAAAAATTCTACTAGTAAATAAAAAGAGCCTGAGAAAAATTAGAAATTACCAAAAATAGAAAAGAAAGAAAGAAAAATCACATGGTTTGTGTGCCTCAAATAGGTAAGAAAAACTCATGACTCAAATAGATAAGAAGGTTGTTACAGAAGATCTGAAAGCAGGCATATTTGGATAGCCAAAAACTGCAATATTTGGATTGCCTAAAACTGCAATATAGCCAAAAACACCATAACTTTCAGAATTGTAAATTTTCTCACAATAGATACAAAAGATAAAAGCTTCCTTACATTTATACACCCTCCACTTTCTTATATATAATATAAATGCACACTTACATGGAGACAACAATGACAGCTTTTAAGTGCAAGAATTCTTGGATTTAAGTTCCCATTCTTTTGTAGACCTTCTTAAACTGGAAACTTAATTCCATTAGACAATTGTGAACCATTTTCTTGTAGAAGTTGTCAATTCTTCTTCAGAATACAAAAACTGCCACAAAAATTACAGCCATACTCACTTTTCCCCGAACACAGAGGGCCAGGCAAGTCATGCATATACATTAGATGAAGTCAGAATCATCGCCGGTCATAGAGAGAGAAAAGGGAGCAATAGCAACATTAAATGTAGTAGCATTGACAGAATCGATGTACTTCATCTCAAAGTCACCTTCCTACCTTGTGAATAGAGGCATCAAAATTTAGGGTCTTGATCAACGCAGCAATTGCAATCAATTGAGGAGCCAACAAAATGAAGCAAAAACACTCCTAATAAAAAACGTATGTGCACCGTAAAGGGTTTGTGTAGTTTTGTTAATTCGATTTGTTTGTGTGCCTTCTCATCTTCAACAAAAAGGAATTGCGAGGGTTAAAGTTGTATTACCAGATAAGTGCGGCTCTATGTGCACTGTTGGATCATTCAACGGGGTACATTCAAACCGCCCACTGATGAACTCATGGAGTTGTTCGGTTTTCCACACATTGTTAGTGGGAATAGTTTTAATTATAGCTAAAAAAAAACACCCACACTAGTAAAGTGCATGTGCTTCGCATTTGATTTGAGTCCAATCTACATTACCGGAAGTTTTAAGTCACTAGGCCAAAACTTAAGAAAATTATTATAGCCCAAAACAACCAATTAAAGAGAACTGCTTGACCTCAAATATTTCAATCAGTATTTACCGAACTTGCCGGAGTCCAATCGGACTAGGGCGAGTAATTCGGCATCACCCATAACCCCAATATGTGTGTACAACTTGGCGTTTATTAAAAAGTTTCAAAAACATCTTAAAAATTGAAAAAAAATGTTTTTGGCATAAATTGGTGATTTTGTTTTTCCCATAATCCCCAACTATAAATTAGTTTTTTTAGGTTCATTTTTCTATAAATTCTTAAGCATAGTTGGACTTTTAAGGTGGCTTTTGGTTGTATTTTAATTTAAATGCCTTCATTTGATTTTTTTTTGATTTTTTTTATGTGCTTTTCAAAATTTTCTAGGGCTTTTTGGCCTTGTACAAGGCTCGCTTGGGTCAAGGGCGCCTTGGCTGAGGCCATTTCAAAACACTGATTTCAAATTACTAATACTTCACAATTCACATTATGAAGAACTTCAAAGAAAAAAAAGGTAAAAACTAATTTTGGCCTAGAAAGACTAGATTGATTATCATAGTGGATGGTTTAGGCCACCCTTGGGGCCGAATTAGGGACTCTTTTTCAGCTTCAACTCATTTTAATTCAAATTGATTGTAGAGATGAATAAAAACCATTTAAGAGTTTTGGGGTCAAATAATTACCCAAGAGCTAGGTCTTTTGACACATGGTGATTTTCTATAGTTTTGGCCAAGTGGCATACGAAATCCTCTCACACAAAAACAAAGACACACATTAGGGTTCATAGGGTTCGGATGTCATTTGTATGTAGAGTAAGGTGCTTTTGTTCAATAAATTTGTTTTCCATATGCCTAGTTACTGAATTTGATTAATTTTAGGCCTCCATCTTCATTAAATATCAAAAGAGGAAAAACAAATAGATACAGAATTCCATTCTAGTATCCAAGCTTACCATCCTTCCACGTTCAGTTGATAAAGGACAAGCAGATGAGTACTCAAATCCCATCCTAGGAAGTATAACCGGCTGTTCTCCAATGACTCCCACTCCCCTGAAAAAAGATAATACATGTGAGAGAGAGAGAGAGAGAGAGAGAGAGAGAGAGAGAGAATCAGCACTGAGACTCCGTAGAAGGAATAACGAAAACCTAACTACCGTTAAGTTTAGTAGGTAGGGATACGAACCAACTAATAAACTAAAC